GCCCTGAATGGCCTTTGTCACGCACTGTGGCTTCCCTGGGGCTTCCCACTCCCAGTCCCGGCTCGAAAAAAAAAACAAAAAAAAAAAACGGACATTTTACAGAAACTGTACATAGAAAGAGATTGACCTCGTTTCCTACAGCTCCTCAAAATTTTTTATTTTTTTCGTCGACAAAAAAAAGCAAATTTTATTTTTGTCATTTCATAAAAAAAAAAAAGGTGTGTGCCCGGAGGGGGGGGGGGGGGGGGGGGGGTCCCGTGGACAAATTGTAACGGTTACAAGTAATTTTATTACTTCAAAAAGTGATCAGATTACTCTTGTGAAAACTGCCTAATAGAAGTAATCAACTGATTACAAAATTACTCCAAAAAGTAATCGATTAGAAGTAATTTGATTACTTGTAATGCGTACGGTACAAGTCTGGATAAAGCCAAAACCGAAACTAGCCTGCGAGTTTACCGGTCCGCCATCTGGTTGTGACGTCAGATGTTGTATAAACATCAGCACGTCGGCGGCTTGAGCCTGTTTCGCCAGCATCGAAAGCACTATAAAAAAAGGGGGCTCTCGCGATCGTACGTGGGAGATAATGGACTATACGATTTATCAAGCTTGTCCAGTGTTGTACACGTTCCTCTAGAAAAGGAACGAAAGCTCGTTCCTCGTTCCTTCCGATTTTTGGAACGCGTTCCCGTTACAAGTTCCTTATGTGAAGAAGGAACTCGTTCCCGTTACAGTTAAAGAAATTGTACGTATCGTTACATATACGTTACATTTTTATTTTGGTGATTACCATATTTAGTTAGATTAATCAATTTTTTTTATTAATGTCATCAAATGGGAACATACAAATTTATATGTCGTGATGGAAGGGCACCAAAAGAAGAAAACAAGCGGAATCAAGGTTTGATTTATATTCAAGTTTAAAATTGAATTTTGAAAATATTCAAGTTTAAAAATCTTAGCTTTTAACCATATTTATATTTGTGGTGAACGATCCAGACGAGCCAAATGTACGTTTTACAACAACAAATGTTGTTGTAAAACGCTCGTGCACATTGCACGAGCGTTTTACAACAACCTCACATGTTTAAATTTTAATTCTAACAAAGTTCCTTGTTCGAACTTAACAACAGTTTAACAACAGTTGCTCTTCGATGTTGCTGTCCGCACGACGAAGAAGTGAAGGAGAGGAGAGGTATTTTGGAAGGTTTGTCTTGAAAAGTACAAATACGTCTATGTGAAGGTTGGATTCGTTGTTCAGTTTGAAGGTGGGGGACAAGGGGAGAAGAAATCAAGGTTAATTTTTATGTCTCTTTTAAGTGACCAATGTTTGGGATACAAGGGTGCATTCGATGTCTGGTAAACTGTTCTTTTGTTGTAACTGTAGGCCTCTTCATGGAAGTTCGGAAATGGCTTTAGTCGGCCTTAGATTTCTGGGAGTATGAGGATTAGTGGAAAGGGGGGGGGGGGGGGGGATAGAAAGGAGCTAAGTTTGAAACGTCCCTCTTTCTGTGTATTTTCCTGCGGCTGCAAGTTTTGCTTTTTGTACCTCAGTCTCGGGCACTCAAAAAAGAATCAGTGTCCACCAGCCCTCCTGCACCCGACTGTTTCCAGGCGAGGATCACACAAAATAAACCCTAAGATAAGTAGCCAAAAAGTTAACAAGTTAAAAACAATATGTTCGTAAAAGTATAGTTCTTATACCTTTAAAATTTCCCTCTTAGAAATTAAATAAAAAATTACCCCACTGAACGAAGAAAAACGAACGCCGTTACTCTTTCCGTTCCAGTAAAAGTGTAACGAGTTCCCGTTCCAGTTCCACCGTTGCCAAATGTAACGGCGGCGTTCCTTCGTTCCTCCTAAAAGGAACGCGTTCCAGAAACGCCGTTCCGTACAACACTGAGCTTGTCTGATGAAAAAGATGCTCCGCGTGGCGAACCGCAGTCGGTCTCGCCTCAGCACTCGATCCTGCTGTTTCGCCGACATCGACACGCCTGTGACGCTAGTCTTTCTCTCTATTGTTTTGGGCACAAGTTCGCCCCATTAAACGTTTAGTTTCTCCAGTTATTCGCCTCCTCATGATTTGTCGTTTGTGACAATATGCATGTTCTTCAAGAGAGTCTTTGTGGCCCTCCTTGCCATTTTCTCTATTGTTATAGTTGCGTCGACTGGATCTATAGGCATGTCCTGCGGAAAAGCCTGCGTTGTTTGCAAAGAGTGCGTAGAATATTTATGTCTAAATGGTAATGAATCTCTCGCGCCTACTTGGGGCGTCGGCGCGTTCAGCACGCGGGCGGCTGTTTAAGTAAAACGGGAGCCAATTACCTCAGAGTCACGGTCCCGTTTCGTCATCACTTTGTCACCGCGCTCCTCATTAATATGTATATGTAAGGAGAGAAAAGAGTTTCCGGTTTCTTACCCAACACCCAACTTCCCAGACAGCAATTAGATACAAAGCGCTGTTGCGCCAATTCTTTTTTTCTTCTCCTTTAGTGTGGCGGCCGGTTTTGTGAATTTTGTGAATTGTTATTTGAAGTACGTACTCTCACGTTTAGGGTAAACTACTACACACTGAAAAAATAAAGATATATATATGAAATCACTTTCCTGTAGAACGCGATAATCACGGCGAACATTGCATGATCCCAGTGAATAAAAAATCTCAAATAACAATCAGAAAAAAAAAGAAGAAAATTACACATTGTGCAGGGGCAGTGGGCGGGCCCATTGTCACTGCTCAGATTTCAACTTTCAGGTCTGATCGTATTATGAGCTTCGTCGATCGGTCGCACCCCTTCATTTTTGCCCGAAGTTGGTTATTTGTGTGTTCTGCACGAAAGCGAACGCAGAGCAATCTTTTTTAGTATGTAAACACTCGAGTGTATTTCATTGTTAACCGATCCGAAGAAAAATAAACATTATACGAGATTGAGCATGCTGACGAAGACAGCGGAGCACGGAATGTGTCTAGCTGTAAACAACACACATGCACAGCTGACTTACACAGCTAAACCAGCTCGCAGAAATTGACGCTACGTGACTTCAGATCACATGACGTGATCACGTCACATGACATCAATTTCTCGGCTAAATCAAGATGGAAAAATTAGCCTCAAGTGACTTGAGGTCCCATGACGTGTTTAGGTATATCAATTTCCTCGCAAATTATAGGTGGAAAGTTTAATATCGCGTCAATTGAGGTCACGTGATGTGGTCACTCACGAGACGTATTTCCCCGCTAAATTTAGGTGCGGAAATGAACATGACGTGACTTCAGGTCACACGACGTTGTCATGTGAAATCAATTTTCCCGCTAAATCTAGCAGGTAAATTGACGCGACGGTTCATCATGACGCTCCTTCGTGACGGTCGTTCGGCACGGTTCTTTCATAAAATTCAGTAGCTGAAACCCGTTCCGTTCTAAGAACTGAACATACGAAGGCTCTCAACTTTATCAGGTCACAATTCATGCCCCAACGCGGTTGGGGTGGTTCACCTTTTATATCAATACTTCTTCTAAGACTCTCTGGAGGCATGGGGGGTTTTCTTAATTCAATGAGCATGAGCGGAACGGAGCTCAGGTCCACGTGGGAAGCGGTTTTCCGAAGCATCGGTAACGGCGCGATTGTATAAATTATTCGAGACAGGTAGTTTGTGGCGTAGCGTTGCCTAGTTCCACGTAATCATTGTATACCGAGGAAGTTAACTCTTTCCGGAAGACATGATTATGCGAGGCCTATAACGGGGCTCGGCCTGCGTAATGTGCGATTCGTACGACGATCAGGAACCTCTTGTGTATTGTTTTTTTTTTGTTCACAAGGTATCCTACTTTTGCTAATCTAAACACCTTCCAAGTTTGTGTCGCTCCTTAATGACACGATGGCCATATAATATCTCAGAGGTTATTGATCATCCATAATTGAATTGTAAGAATTTATTCAAGGAGGCGCTAGCACGATTAACACGGAAGGTACCCCTTAAACATATTCGCCTCATATGAGAAAACAATCACTGTACATGAAAATAGTATTTTTCAGGGAAATTATTACTCGGCGAAAACAACTTCAGCCGTCAGGGCATCACCCATTCGTCTTCTGAAATAATCTACTATGTGTACGATTGCCGTATTTTGGATATCTCGATCGCTAGCCGGCTTTCCGAAACGTGGTGTTTTGAAGAAAACATTTGTATCTTAAATACAAAATGTAAAGGGGTTTACGAAAAGAAAAAGTCATTTCAATAAATGTGTACGAGTAAACGGCGTAAAATGCGCGAGCATCGTGCCGGCGTGCGGTCGTGTATCACTACTGTGGAGTGCACGTTAAAGATCCCAGGCTAGCGGTTGTACCGCACTGGCTGAATTGCTCATCTACAGCGAGTGACTCGTCGCAACTTTGAAATGGCTGACCTACTACAAGCTGTATAAATATAAACACAACCTCAATTACTAATACGAGCGAACAAGATTGACATCGAAGCGCTCAGGATATAGGCCACAGTGTCTTACGAGGGTGCGACTCGCTCGCTTTGGTCGCCGACAACTTATAAGCAAACGCCAGGGTGAGGCGAGTCGTGTGCGTCTAATTAGCGTTTTGCACCAATCAGGTTGCGACATTGGCCGTTCTTTCTTAAGCCCTCGGGGAGCGCCATTTGGTCGACCGTCTTCGCATTTCTCGCCGTCCGTCTCTCCCGCAAAGCACCCGCCGGGGAGTGCCAATCGCCGCCATGTACGATGGAAGTTGGGCTGATAATAAAGAAGATTGAGATGTGTCTAGTGCGACGCCGATTGTGGGGTTACACCATCATGCTCAGTCTCGCGGTGCACACAATAAGTTTTTTTTTTTCTTTTTTGCAATGCGTATATAAGCAGTGTGTGTCTGCGACTTTTAACGCTGCTACCGCGGTTTTATAGAGTGCAGGCACCAGCCCCGGATAAAAGATTTTCTCTTCGATGCACATTGTTAGATCGCCTGGAGAGACCCCCGCATATATATACTTACAGCCCTTGGTAGTCATGAGCGTGTACTCGGAGGTGACCATCTGGAACCTGCGGTCGTCCTCGAGCGAAGGGTTAGCCGCGTAGATGATGGCGTTGGCCGCCGAATCGCTTCCGAAATCCGGCTCCACGGCGATGCTGTAGTTGGTCAGTAACCGCAGGTCGCCGATCAGGGCCTCGTAACTTCCTTTCGAGGGTCTGCGGGAAATTTTGAGAGAGAGAGAGAGAGATCACCAAGTGGCAGGAATTCTGAAAAGAAAATCTCGCTGAGGTCACTAAAGACTTCTTAAGTCTTCAGTGACTTCTTAAGTCCAAGAATGCAGCGCATTCTTGGAAGCAGCGCGCCACGTCTTCCTTTTGCACACGGCGCTCCGACGCTGACATCACGCTCCCCCAGCGCGCAGGCGCGGCTAACCCCGCCAGCCTCACGACGGCTTCCGTGACAAAGCATTTGCGTTGCTGTGCTTTGCTTTATGTTTCATTTCTGAGGCGCGTGTTTGATGACGTAGTTTTGTGGCCACCTCTCGGGGACAACGCCGACGGCTTTTCGCGTAATGGGACAAGCAAGGCTTTCGTCTTAAAATGAGCATTTAATATTGCCGATACCAGAACAGAAGAAAGGCAAAAAATTTTTTAAGAAAAGGGCAGTAGATGGGTACATAGACGCGACTGTGCTTCTGGACTTCGTCTATTGTCTCTAGTTTTTGCGAACTTTAAGCTTTCGATCGCCCAGATTTTTCTTTTTTTAATGGGCATAATGTTTTTGTTTCGTTGTTTATAACGGAAACTCCTATACTTCGTTTCACCTTAAAGGGGCACTGACACATCAAAGTCATATTTTTTTTTTTATTATTTGAAACGATTGAAAACGATGCCGGGACATTACCCTCAAAATTTGAAATTTATGAATTCAGTATTTGTGAAGTAAAAAAACAATTTCCAAATGCCGAATTCGAAGTTCCCGCGCGATCCGCGCCGGTGCGTTGACGTCAAATATTGCGGAGCCCTGAGAGTCCACTTTCTTTCACGACTCCCTGCTGTTGCCATGGCGACCCAAAGCGAGGAGGAAAGGAGCGAGCGCCGGCGTTGCGGCGGACCGGTTTTGAGCGGTGTCGCCTGTTTTCCGTGGGAGGAGAGAGAGAGAGAGAGATAAATTCTTTATTATGTAGATGTTGGTATTCTTTAAATGACACCGGCTACTCCATAACGAGAAAGAGAGAGAAAATATATATGAATAAAAGGAAAAACATAAAAGGAAAAGAATAAAGATAAAACACATAAAGTAAAACCGTAAAAAAACATACAAACAAATCTAATTACAATTGCGAATAAGACGACCGTTTGGGAGTCGTGCACCATTTGCTAAATTACATACAAAGTCATTCCCGTTGAAATTGATGCACGTTCGCACTTAATAATCATACACGATTCTAGTGTCCTTTAGAAAGTCATGAATGATATTCATTGCTCTGTCTTGTTTTTTACGCTTCGGCCAGGGCCCCAACAACTTGGTCAGAGACAAGGGTCTATCATCTAATATTTGAAGGCGAATCTCCATCCGGCGCCTTTCATGTTGAAAGCGTTCACAGTCAAGGAGGATATGTTGTACATCCTGATATGGTTCTCCACAGTCACATCTTGGCGAATCTCGGCGTTTAATTCGAAATAAAAAGCTGTTAGTAAAGGCCACTTCAAGTCTGAGTCGATGGATTAATGCGTCGTATATTCTTTTCATCCCGGTATGCGGTGGAAGCTCAAAGTCCGGGTCAATATATGGTAGGAGAGTCTCTGCTGAAGTGTCCTTTAGCCAGCACTTCCGTCAACGTAGATGGCGTAAGTGACGAAGGATGAATTTTGCATCTCCAGGGGTAAAGGATGTCGCTTCCATTGCGTCACCATCGTGAGCTTGAGCTGCCAGGTGATCAGCCTCTTCATTTCCGGCGATTTGGCAGTGGCTCGGTATCCATTGTAGTCTGACGTTATGTCCGTGGAGCCGAGCTTGTGCTAACGTGAGTTGCACCCGATATATAATGGTCGCCTGGGAAGTACGAAGGTGCATGCCTTGTAATAACTCTAGGGATGCTTTTGAGTCCGTTAGAATAACCCAGTTTGATGGTGTACCGAATGCTTCAATGAATGATGATGCTGAAAGTATTGCATGTAATTCCGCTGACGTCGAGCATGTATGATGGGACAATCGAAAACATTTAAATGTGTCTAACATCGGGTTTGAGTAAGCAGATGTTGACCCCTTGTTAGATGTTGACCCGTCTGTGTAAATATGAATGTTGTCTTTGTAGCGTGCCTCTAAATGGGAGAGGGACATTGTCTTCTCCACCAGGGGGGCCACCGAAGATTTTGATCCAAGACCAGGAATTTCGGTCTGTATATCTCCAGTGGCGGAATTGTCCACGGAGGGTTGATTAGACTTGGAAGCCAATGCGCATGATGGGGTGCTGCGACGGGTAGTGCGACGAGAAGTCGGTGAAAGCTAGACTCCGTCCGTCGAAGTATCTTTTGGCACAAGGGTCGGGCATGTGAGTGCGAAGCCAGTCGAAGATAATGGCGGCATGTTTCTTGTTCCCGGAGAACAGGTACTGGAGGTTCCTTGGCCTCAGCAATGACGAGGTCACTAGATGTTGCGCGGGGAAGTCCAAGGCATACGCGCAAACTTCGCGCAATCATGTATGTCAAGCGTTTTTCCAGTGTTGGTGAGAGGCCATGTAAAACAGGAATGGAGTATGCGATAGTCTGGCGTACTAGAGCTGTATGCAATAGCAGTAGTCCATCAGTCGAGCCTCCCCATCTGGCACCGGCCACCTATCTAAGAACGCTAATGACTCTGTTAATTTTTTCCTCAAGCATGTTAATATGTCTTGACCATGTGAGGGAGAAGTCCAGCGTAACTCCAAGAAAACGATGCCACTTCACCTTTTCAATCTGTTGTCCTTGAAGTGTCAATTTAAAATTCTTAAGGTGCTTTCTAGTAAATGGGAGACATGCAGATTTTTTAACTGAAATGTCCATGCCCCTTTCACGAAGATAACTGTATGTGTCATTAAGGCCATACTGCAATTGTTCTTGTAGCTTGGTCTCAGAAGACCCACATACCCATATACAAATATCATCAGCGTAGATGGACACATTCAGTGGTGAAGGAAGTTTACTTGGCAGTTCTGCCATGACTACATTAAATAAAGTGGGGCTTAACACGCTGCCTTGTGGCACACCATGATGGAGTTCATGTTGTTTGCTATTTTCCTCACTCGTGCTTACAAATATCTTCCTGTGCATGAGAAAGTTGCGTATACAGCGGATCATACGGCCTCGTATCTTAAGCCGTAGAAGTCCACGGAGAACATGTTCGTGACTAACGGTGTCAAAAGCGCGATGCACGTCTAGAAATACAGCGATCGTCATATTTTCGGATGCCCGTTCATGTTCAATAGTTGTTACAAGATCTAAGACTGAGTCTATAGTGCATCGTCGAGGTCGAAATCCGGTTAATTGTTCCGGTAATACATCGGTTGTTTCCATCCACCATTGTAGACGTGATTGTATCATTTTTTCGAAGATTTTTCCTACACAGCTTATCAAACTGACTGGGCGAAATGATCCCAGTTCTTTCGGTGTTTTTCCCGACTTCAGTATTGGAATTATCTTCGCTAGTTTCCATGAAGCTGGGAAGGTTTCTCTGTTCCACACATCATTGTAAATATCAAGTAGGCTGCGCAGTGTTCCCGGCCCGAGATTTGTAAGTGCTTCATAACGAATGTGATCATGCCCAGGGGCTGTATGCTTACGAATCGTTCGTAACGCCTCATTAAGTTCATGAATGGTGAAATTAGAGTCGAGTTGCCAGTGTTGGGAATGAATTTCGTGAGCAACGTCTTTCAGTGCAGCTTCACGAGAGGCACAATATTCTGGCGATAACATTGCCAAACCTGGTTGAGATAGAGAAACACAAAACTCATCAGCCACTATCACTTCGGATGTTCCTCGTGAAAGTGCCAGTGCCCGAAATGGACGTTGTTGCGTAACAGGGGACCTAAGCGAACGCAATATGTTCCATACCATCTTAACTTGGGTGAAAGGAGAAAATCTGGCACAAAGCTTTCTCCAATGACGCTTAGCCAGCTTTTCTAGCTGTCGGCGCATTTGAGTATGGAGGTGTTGAGCCTCACGATAGTCTTCAATTCTCCCAGATCTCCGATATCTTCTTTCAGCTTTGCGTCTTATAGCCCGCAGTCTTTCATATTCGCCATTCACACAACCACGGTCTTTTGGAACGGGCACCTTGCGTGTAGCCTTTTCAAAATTTCTGCTAATGATGTTTTCAAAGTCTTCGAGAGACTGAATTTTTTCCACCTCTTTGCTATTTAAAAAGCGGAACATTTTCCAGTTGGTAAAGTGTACCCGGTGCGGAACACGATTACCAACAATCCGGGGATGGTGTATCAGTATGGGAAAATGATCACTGCCACGCGTGTCCAAGTCTGTGCGCCAGTCAAACTCATGTGAATGATCGGAGGAGCACAAGGTCAGGTCAAGGCAACTTGAAAAGTTTACACCTTTCAAGTATGTTGGAGAGCCGTCATTCAGAATGCACATATCATACTGGTCTACCAGGCTTTCTATAAGGTTTCCTCGAAGATCGCAGTGGGATCCGCCCCATAGGGTATGATGGGCGTTAAAATCTCCGCAAACAACGTAGGGACGTTCAAGTCTTGTGAATAATGCCTCGAATTCTGTTCTTGTCACAGTCTTCTGCGGTTCTATATATACGCCTACTACAGTAAGTGAGGTCGTGCCGTAACTGACTTTGCAGACGACATACTCCAATGCACTTGAATCTGAAGTAAATAACAGAATCGAGCCAAATTCTTTACGCACCCCGACTAAGCAACGACTTGTTCCTTTTGGCTTCTTTGATTGGTACATAACATACTTAGCAAGTCGAAATTGATTATTTACACGCGCCTCTGATATTACCAGAATGGGAAAAGAGTATTGTGCAACAAATTGTCGAAAGTCCCCTAATTTTCCTTGCAAGCTGTTGGCATTCCACTGGTGGATAGATGTGCGCTTATAGACCTCAGCCATGGAGGTATCCCCTCACCAATGGGCATGTTGTCCTGATGAGTGGTTCCATGGCCAGTATTGCCCTAACTTCCGGAAGGTCGCTAGAACCGGGCAGC